TTCACAGATACTTTATTTCAAATGTTGTATATGCTGAGTAATAAGCATTGTGTCCTTTTCAAATGTATGCTCTATATTAGAATGAAGAAATATGTTTAGTTTTGGAAATCCTTCAAAATTCTGCTTCAGTACTAGCATTCTTCAACTTTTAACTTTTTAGCATTTGCATCTGTTTTTTCTTCAGCTTGGAAAGCTGTGCTTCCTGAAAATAAGATTTATCACATTTAAATGAGTGAAAATGTCTGATAGATATGCCAGTTGAAGAGAACTGTAAAATGAATTCAGATGATCATTGACCTGAAATTCCCTTTGATTGAAAAAAATGTCATATCTTATCTCTTAGTTTCTAGAAGCAAGACTTAAACTTCCAAAAGCAGGACCAAACTTTGCTTTATGACAGACTGTGAACCTAACTGTGTCACAGAAATTGATAATATTTAGTGTCCATATTGTTTCAAAGTTGCTTTAAAAATTTGTAATTTAGCAATTTGCTGTAAAGGAAACTGATAATTCTAATCGCTTCATTTAGAGTCTGCAGTAGTTTTTCTAATATCTTCTAGAAACCAGAGCTTTTCTTTGTAAGTAATGCTGATTGAAAACTACTGAAGGTTGAGACTTCTTTAATTTACATTCATGATTCAGAAAAGTGTCCAGTCATTCATTGAGCTCCATCTGCACTTCTGCCTGTGGATTTTATCTAGTCAGTATTGTGAAGTGTAATAAACTCATTTAAGCGACTAAATATATCATCAGTCATCGTGTGAGTGAGTGGATGTAATGATGAAAAGTAAGTCCTTCTTTACATTTCTGTCACTCAGACGCCTAGTGCAAAAAAAATCTCATGACTGTGTAAAGACAGCCATGCCACTTCGGGAGTTCGAGGACTTTTCGGCGTAGCCATTTCGTTTTTTCTCTTTCGCTGGTAGCTGATTTGCCATAGCTGTTTAGTATTCACGTGGAAAGCAAATGCATAATAAAGGTTGTTTATAATATACAGTACAAAGTCCGTAATCAGGACTCGCCCTGACTTTGGCGAGTCCGGATTAAGGGTTTTTCTGGATTATAGATCATCAATTTAAATCTGGTAAGAAGATGGCATGCAGAAATTATAAAATTAAAAATATGAAACTGTAATTTATGAAATAAAGAGCAATTATGATCTAAAGGATATCAAAATGTACAAAAAAAAAAGCTTTATATTTATTTGTTTGCTTTATTAAATGTTTCTTTCAATGTAAGTTGTTTAAGTTGCTTCGTTTTTTGTGCAAAACGCGCATGCGTAAAGCATAAACAAAAAATTTTTTTTGTGGCTTTGAGGTATGGATTATAGATCATTCCGGATAATGGACGTCTGGATTACAGACTTTGTACTGTATATAATTGCCTACAAATATGGGATATAAAGAAGTTACACATAGTTAGAAAATTATGTCAATATCAAATAGAACTGATTTATGACATTTCATAATTATGGGCTAGTAAACCTCTGATATAACAGAAGTAATAGTATCATTTCTAAAATTTTGCAGGTGTAATACAGTAAAAAGTCCGAAATCCAGACGTCCATTATCTGGTATCATCTAAAATCCAGACCTCAAAGCCTTAAACTTTTTTTTTCAATCAATGCTTTACGCATGCACATTTGATTTTTTCTTCCATAATAAAGCATGGGGAGATTTTCACTTAAAAATTCCGATTCTTAATTTCACTTAGGCACTAAATAAAATCCATTGTTAAGAAAAAACAATCATGTAAGCATAAATTTGTGAGATTAATAATTTGGCTCCATAGCTGAGTATCTACTTGGCATATATCTCAAACTGAAACAATCACCTATTTTATATCCCTGACGCCAACCTGGTGAGTCATTATTTATTATATTTTGCTTTCATCACTGCATGTTTATCAAAACATGACAGCTTCAGTAATAACTCATGCAGTGATGTCTAAACTTAGTAATTGAATAACCAGAGTATGACAACCTTTTATGATAACATTACACTTGGCGATGATTATAGATTTTAAATGCTCTAAGAAATGTTGACGAGGAAAAATTCAACAAAAATTTCTTTTGATATGCTAAAAATAGATTTTGTTAATGAAACTTTTAGGCTAAAAGATTACATTTAGTGCTATTTTAACTAAAATACCTGATATGTTAATCACCATAAACCCAGAAGCGGCGGCAGAATATGCCGGCATCAGACGGCAGAATTTGGGGAAGACGAAATTTTTGGAATTTGGGGAAGCACCGAGTGGCAAAAAAACTGAATGAGAAATATTTATGATTTAGGGAAAGCACTGGGATCCAAAGTTCAGGCACAGTGAAAATTTAAAACTTAAGAAAGCACTTTGTAGCAGAATTTAGGACCCGTAGAGACTGCACCAGGCGGTATTGAGCGCTGGGCCTAGATAAAGCCTTAAGTATATGTGGGAGTTTATTTATTAAGGACTCAGATTAGTTTGAAGCATGTGCAAAAAATAAACATAGGTATAGTAAATAACTAAACTAATACAATTGAGGCTTAATTCAGTACGCAATAGGAGCAAGACAAAATTTAGCGAAACAATTTGGCTTTCGTTGATTGATACACACGATTGATACTTTCGTTGATACACAGCCAATAATGTATAATGGATGCTATTAAGTTAGGCTAAAATTATCTTTACTGATTCAAAGGCATTTCAATTAATGTAGCAGACTGCACTGCTCCCTGATCTTCTAATTTGATCCACCTTATTATATTTTTGCAGACTTATTACAGCAATTTTATAAAAACTAAGCTTGAACTTTCGATTATGTCGAAAAGAGTTTCCATTTCTGGAGTTGCCAAAGGATCTACAAAGCAAAACCATGTTTCAATGTCCATTAAACAAAAAGTGGAATTGCTGCAAAAAATGGATAAAGGCATATCCGTTTCAAAATTATGTGAGGAGTATGGCATTGGAAAGTCCACTGTATATGACACAAGAAAAAGAAAAAATGAACTTTTTGAATTTTTTGTGGAAGCATCTTAAACAACTTACATTAAAAGAAATGTTTAATAAAGTAAACAAATAAATATTGAGCTTTCTTTTGTAAATTTTGATAGCCTTTAGATCATAATTGTTCTTTATTTCATAAATTACGATTTCATATTTTTAATTGTATAATTTCAGCATGCCATCTTACCAGATTTAAATTGATGATCTATTATCCGGAAAAATCCCAAATCTGGAATCGATGAAGTCCCGACCAGTCCGGATTGTGAGCTTTCCGGATTGTGGACATGTATTTACATGGTTCATCAAAATTTCTTGAAATTTTAATTAGTTCAATGAAATCATTCATACAAGCTGGAAATCCACATTTTTATGAAATCTTAATTGAAAATGAAATTACTTTGGAATTAGCATATTACTCTCTTAAAATTGATATATATATACACAATGATAAGTTAACTTTTATATCCTGCATAACAATATATTTGCATAAAATTGTATGCGGCCCACCAGTGGCCGAGCGGTAAAGATGCTGAACACTGGTAGTTTGGTCCGAGGTTCGAATCCCACGAACGGGCTGGCTGCATGGGCATTTTTGTGGTTTTTCCTATGTGTAACGTGTGTACGAGCCAGTTTCCCTTAGAAAGTCCTCCACAAAGGCAGGTAGCCCTCATGTGCTTTGTGATAATTAAATAATCCAAATTAAATAATAAAATTGTATGCAAAAGCATTTTATATATAGTTAAAAAAATTTTAATACAAGGAATTTGCCTAAATGTAAACATTAATTAACAAACCATGTGGTTCTTCAAATTGCAAAAGTTTAGAAACATGTATTACTATAACTTTGGTTGCCGAGCAGATTTTTGCGTGCAATTTATTTTAAAATAGTTGCGAGAAATCAAGTCATAATATAATATTCAAAGAAATTAACTTTTTTAATTTTTTGAAGACGTACGCCTCAAGGACCTTATACATCTCAATATACCTTAAAAATGGTCGAATAGTTTCGAACTCTCAGAATAATTTCCTTTCTGCAATGATTGTGACATTATATTATGTTTACTATTATTCTCATTTTTAAAGTTTTATAATTATATTTTGTATTAATTATGAATGTTTTTAGTTACTGATTTGAATTTAACTAAATACTGTGGATCATTTATCATATTTTAATATATTTTAATAATTCTAGATGATGTATCTAGTTGCAAAAGCTTTTTCTTTTAAAATTGAAGACTATCAGAGGTGTACAATAGGTAAACAAATTATTAAACTGAATAAACTTAATAATAAAATATGGCAAGATAATACATGATATAGATGTGCAAAGAAAAATGTCATAATATAGATGTGCAAAGAAAAATGTCTTGACTATATTATAGGTAAACAGAATTATTAAATTAAATAATCTTAAAAATAATATGGCAGGGCATAATAGTCATATAAAGAAAAATATGTCTTGACAGCGAATCAGCTCAACAGTGAAATGGCTATATCGAAAGGGCTGTGGCAAATAGTCCAATTCCCACATAGGGGGCTAAACTGGTCCTTATTATTATGATTAAGAAATGTTTTAACTAAAAGGAAAAGGCATGCTGTATCCTGCAAAGCCATACTATAATCATGTACAGCAAATATGAAATCTTTTTGTATGCAAAAGGTTTTGCTGATATCCAAATAAAGATGTATGATTTGATGCAGAGGATTTATGGATTATGGTCTTCATTTTTTGAAGGATTTTGCAAAGTACCACTTGTCTCAAATTCTTTAGTCATTTTTTCATGCAACGGATGCTCTTCATTAATTAAATCTCTCATTAAGCTGACAAAAAGTTTGCAAAGCTGCAGCTATTCTGCTTGCAAAAACTTCATGCACATTATCATTAAAATGAAAAAGTGCCCAGAATTTTTGGTTAAAATTCAAGATTTGTTGTTTAAAATACTTTTGGTGAGTGAAATTTTTAAAAAAAATTTTTGGTAATCAAATATTAATTGATATCTCTTTTTGAAATGCAGGGTTACTATAAAGACACAGTAGAATTTGTTTTTGAAAGTCGTAATGAATGTAAAAATTTTTGGAAGAAATGCATCGAAAATCATGCCTTTTTCCGTTGCTCTGAGGTAAAACGGTTGCCTCGTCAGAAGACTCGAATATTTAGCCGAGGTTCATCTTTCAGGTATTCTTTTTTCTTCTTTGTATTTGAATATTTATTCATATTAAAATGTATAAATGACCTGTGCATAGTTTAACACAAAATGACATTTAAAAAGTGTTTATACCAGATATATATTTTCAGAATAATCTTTTGCATCTGGTCCCATCTCGTTGAGATCTGCTGTCATTTTATTGATACAATTACTTCTTATAAATATAAAAATACTTTGTGATGAAAGTATTAAAAGTTAGAAATGAAGGGATGTGAGACATAAGAAAGAAACTGCATTCGTTAAAGTGGCCAATTTTTTGAAAATCTACCAGATTCTATAAAAATGAATGGAGAATTTTCTGTAAATGATCACTTGTATGAAATTCATAGTAATCATTTCCCTTACAAAGGAAGCCTACCACTGGTCAAACAAATAAGACCAATTAGTAAATAAGTTCATACAGTCTAGCTGATTATCAAGTAATTTTCCTAGCTGTGCAGCCCGTCATAGATAATAATATAGTTTAAGTTTTATGATTAAATAAAATGAATTTTCTTTTCCATAGAAAATAGACAGTAATGCCTTTTCTTTTTGTTAACCCGTACAAAAACTTAAAAGTACTTTCTGCATTAATTGAAACTCTGGATGCAAAAGGTACTGCATATTCAGCTCCTTCTGAATCATTGCTGAACACTAGTAGTTCTGACCTGGGTGATCCACACATGGGTGTTTTCATGGTTTTCCTCATGCGTAACATGTATATGAGCCAGTTTCCCATACAAAGTCCCCCATGAATGCATTCCTCCCCGTCGGCAGGTAGCCCTAAAGTGCAATGCCATAATAAACTAAACCGAACCATCTAAATCTTTGGGGGTTAGAATGGTTTTTTTAAACTATTATCTAAAAGATCCTAATTCATAAGCTGCTCATCAAAAACATAACATCATATTTAATAGTTAAATTATTTATTTGTTCAAAACTTTGTTAGCTTCTGCTGTTCAGATTTGCTGTAAAGTGATGCTGGGGCACAAAAATTTTTTTATTTGTATCTTAAAGTGAAGGAGCTTTACTAGCTCTTCTTTAGGTGTAATACCTTTTTATTTGCAATATAAAATTGTTGATGAATTTTATTAAGAGAATTGCTTAATCGCCTGTTCCCGTTAAACTGTATGATGAATGATTTTTCTCCGTTTAGTGCATTAATTATTAAATCAAAGCTCTGGGGTTTAAAGCAAGTCTCTGAAAATTGCTGCCCTTGACTAATTTTTGTGCAACCCTAGCTTCAATGTGTGTGTGGGGGGGAAGTATGTAATTATAATATATTAATAAAAACTGGAATTTCACACAATATTGAGGCATATATACAACCTCAGGTGCTCTGTCAGGTTAAGGATTATCTTTATAAAAATGCTTTCTTAACTGACACTGAGAGAGTGCTAGCCCAATTATAGATACAACTAGCAGGAATTCAGTGAAACTCAGCTGTAAAGTAAAAATGATTCAGTGAAGTGGTTATCTAATTTTAGAAATATTTCCCTGTGTGTCTTCAGGAAAGCTGGAAATCTGCATCTTGTAAGTTTTCCATGTCTGGAAGTACATATAGTGTGAACCACTTTTCTCATACATGTTGGGGAAGAAACAACAGGTTTTCATCAGCTATTACCACAATTTCCTTATGTTCCTTTTATTTTTTAAAGAATTTTTGTATTAGGTAAGATTTTATGTGATGACTTTGGCCTACTTGAAGTACTGAGTTTGACTTGCCTGTCTAAAGAATATTTGCATCAAATTTAGCTAAGATTTTCTCATTAAATTTTTGTTTGTGAGGTTCTAAATATCTTCTGTTTAATTATAACTATCCTATTGAAATTTTAGTCTGAAACATTTTTCATATTTTAAATGGCATTTACTATATACTGAAACATTTTTCATATTTTAAATAGCATTTACTATATAATATACATCTCATATATTATGTATTTGTATATTCAGAATTTTCTGTTGGTCCAAGCCTGGGTTATTGTTTCATGCACTGGTTAATATACTTTGTGGATATACTGTTAAAATAAAATATAGACCATCTCTTAGTTCCTTTGATTTACTTTGAAAATGCAGCTTCAAATGACATTTTTATTTGGCAAAGGCATTTTTTTGTTCTTCTGAAAATCATATCAGTGTGTAAGAAATGTTTGCACCAAATTAAGTTGTTGTCCCAAAGAAATTGTGGCTATCAAGAAAAATGGCTGCTGTTTAATTACGGTCCCTTTTGTATTTTACTACTTTAAAGAAAAGCTACTCTAAATAAAGTGCGGTATAATTTTAATTTTTAATGGAATGTTTTTTAAAATAAAATTAGGAATGTTTTTTAAAATAAAAATTTAAATGATATTGTATGTATAATAAATTTCTAGTATTCATATATTCGCATAATAAAGAATTTTCAGTCAGTTAACATCAAACATGTTAATTTCATGTGGTAATTAGCACATTATTCTAAAGAACTAAGCTCTGATTTTCCTTCCACTTCAAGTGTGAGGTAATATTGATATTAATTTTTTAACTTGGTAAGACTTTCGATTAAGATTTTGTATTTTCTGTTATAATATACAGAGTGTGTAGAAAATATAAAATGTAGGTACATTTCCGTTTTGCCAGCACAAACAATAAAGTAGTCAATAATGGTACAACTGATGCCAAACGGAATATCTTTGCTGGTAAACCTTTTATGCTTCATTTTCAAAACAAGTCACAGCCATTTCTTATCAGATTGATTGTCTTTCAATACTGGCATACGATTACATAGAATTTTTACCAGACAGTTCAATTTTATGCCCTTAGGCCATTTGTGGTAATTAAGTCAATTAGGATGCAATCACACAATTAGGATGCAATTCACCAGAAAGCAAAAATAAAGAAAAGGCAAAATCTTTAGCAGTCTTGCTTAAAGGAGAGGAGATCTTTGGCGAACGCCGTTTCCTCCAGTCCGTGAGGAAGGCAAAATCAAGAGCAAAATATTCATCAATTCTAATGAGAATGCGCTAGTGAAGTAAAGCACTACAGTTTCACATAATTTCTGAGTAAGCTATTCGTATGAACTGAAATAATTCTTGCATTTAAACTAGTATTCCAAATTAAGATTTAACTTGAAATTAATGTAGTTAATTACTGAGAGAATTAGATTTTTAAAGCACAGTTTACGTGAGATGAGATCACTAGGGGTCACGTGATAAGAACCGGCGAATCAGGATGTTGAACCATGAAAGCATAGTAAATTCTTAAATTAATGTCTGTTGACAAAGTTATTGTCTTTATTTATTGGCTTTTTACAAAATTTTAAAACATATTAAAATGTTATGCCTTCAAAATAATAATTCATAGAACTAACTTTTGTCAACATTTTTTATTTGTATACTGTATGTTGTCGTCAACAAAGTCTGCTTGGCGAGATTTGCGCTGGCAAAACGGAAAAGTACCAAAATGTGTGATAGATTTTTTTTTATGCTTGATGTAATAAATCTAAATCTTAGATCGTAATTTTAAGTATTTTTTAAATGCAATACACAGATATTTAAATTTTTATATTGACAATTTGGATGATCGTTATTCTTTAGATATTTTTACCTTTCCATTAGATATAGTGGTCGGACGCAAAAGCAGATGGTAGAATATGTCAGGGAGAACTATGTCAAGCGTCAACCATTTCAAAGGTAAGCATGGAAAAATTAGAATGATTGATGAATATATTTCTGAATTATATTTCGGTGATTCTATTGCTTTATACAGTGTCTACTGGAAAAACTTATCAAAACTAAATAAAAATAAAAGCAAAAGAGGTGTGCATTTATTTTGCACTGGTTTGCAAAACTTATGGACTAACAGCATTCCATGAGATGGCATGCAACAAATGCAATGCAAAGTTTATAGGGTTATGTAATTAAAGGTGAGTAGTAAAATTACAGTCATATGTAAATTTTTAACTAGTGATGCAGTATGTGACTTAAAAGTTTTAAATGGAATAAAAGCAATTTTTCCAGGTAAAGATAGGAAATAGGAAACATGTGTGAAACACTTTTTATGAAGTTCTAACAAATTGTTATTGTATTACAGAAGACACAGTTTCTTTTAGAACATGTCAAATTATGTTATACATACTAAGCTGGAAAAATGGTTAAATTTCAGTTCAGCCAAAAATTTTGGTATATCTTTTAATCTTACTCTATGTGTATGAAAGATTCTCCAAAACAAGATAAGTGCTGTTAGAAAGAAAATGAGTAGTCTTCCACAGGAAACATTGCCAGGGAATGATGAATATATAGTTATGCAGGCCAAAAGATGTTCATGCCTAGCTGCAGGCAGTATTTCAAACCAAATACTGATGGTTACATGGCATGATGGTACTGTTTTTGAAGAACCACTTAATGCTCACAAATTTGAAAGTCAGAATTTTTTAATCTAGCTCACAAGAGCTTTTTTTGCCCTAGTGGTAGAGGATTCCATTCCTATTACATCGCACTTCTGATTCGACCCATAGATATTGCCATGAGAAAACCCTCCACTTAACAACAAAAGCATGGAACAACAGCGGGATAGCCCTGCAGTCTTCATAGTGGCTCTGTTGTGGAAGTGACAGGAACACATACCTCATCCACCTGCTCACCTGGGGACTACGTCACTTCTGTCATCCACAACGTCTCGTGCCACAAGTGTTCAATTGGCTCAACTAGCCCCAATCAATGAACAGAGTTGAATAGCTCACCAATGCAAACAATCAACCACATTATTGCATAGGCTTAACACACTGCAACAAGTTTTCCCTCCTCATTAGCATACAGATGCTGGGAGAGGGTTATGTCATCTACAGAGCCACTCAGCTATGTAGATGACTTTTTCTGAAATAACTTGGATATTTTTTTGCTATATTTCGATTCTGTGACTCAAATTATCATAGGATAAGGTGATCTGTACAAAAATTAACTTCAAGAGTATATATACCAGGAAGTTTGAAAACTTAAATATTGTCATTCTTTAAACTAAATGTATATTGATTTCAGTGTCTACTATATGCAAAAACTTCTTTTACATTTCTTTCAAACAGTGGTAATAAATCGTGCTACATTGATAATGACAAACTGCTTGCTTCTTTCATTTGAGCATTAAAAATGAATAATGCATAGCTGCAAACTGTGCCAGTTTTTCATCACACAATCTCCTGGTTTTTAATTTTTAGCCTTTATTAAGAAATATGTTTCAGAGCAATAAAGGAAATTTAGTGAACTGATGAATCTTCAATTATACAAATTCCATTTTTTAAAATTACATTTATTCATCTTTTTTATTAAATTTCATTTGATCTGAGTTATCTTAATCGATTGTACACATTAGTAGACTTTTGTGTGAGGATTTAAGTTAAGTCAATATTTTTATAATAAAAATATTTACTTCAATATATGGCATATTACTAAGTTTATCCACACAGCTATTAAATACATTAATAATTTATTTTCATTGTATTTAAAAGTACTTGAATAAGTAAACGCTTTCCTTCACTACTCAGCACTTTCTCAATAAAAAAAGCTTACAAACATTAAATAAATAAATAAATAATCCAAATAACATAAATCTAGAGTATCCAATTAAATGCTTATACAGTACAAAGTCCCAAATCCGGACTCGTCGGGACTTCGGTAATTCCGGATTTGAGATTTTTCTGGATAATAGATCATCAGTTTAAATCTAGTAAGATGGTATGTAGAAATTATAAAATTAAAAATATGAAATCGCAATTTGTGAAATAATGAAGTATTTATGATCTAAAGGGCATCAAAGTTTACAAAAAATAAAAGCTTAATATTTATTTGTTTAACTTATTAAACATTTCTTTCAATGTAAATTGTTTAAAGTTGCTTCATTTTTTGTGCTAATACTTTCTCTTTAATTCTGTAGACAGACATAATCTCTTGTTTAGTTACATTTGAAGTCCTGTAACTGCTGTTTCGAGAATTCCGACTAACTTGTCTATAAAAATTTTCTCGTTTCCATTAACTTCTCTTTCACTTTCTTCACTATCGGTAGCGGTATTTTCTGGATCTAGAACCATACTACAGCTTTCACCCTTCAAGATATCATCTTCATTTATTACCTCTTCTCCACATTTCTTTAAAAATTCCGTTAATTGTAAATTTCTCCTTTGTTTTGCGATATCCGAAAACCTTTAAAATGAGTGGCTATCATCAAATTTGGCTATCCTTTACTATATATATTTGGCTGTGCATCATGAGCTTGGTGAGTAATGACAAGCTGTTCCGTTAACCCCTTAACTGCCGCAGAAAATGTACAAGATTCCTTTCCCAGTGCCACAGTTTTTCACACAGGCGCACATAGTTTTGCTATGCATTAGGGGGAAAACAAGTGCAAGTTTTACATTCTAAAAACTGTTTACTTTCACAAAATAAAGAATAAAAGAAAAAATGAATGCACGAAATTTAATGTTTTGAGTAAAAGTATAATAAAAAGATGTAAGTATTATACAAATGATGTTTTTATAATAAAAAATGTCCCTAAAATGGAGTTTTGATCAATTCATTTTTAGACCAGTAAAGTTTCATTGTTATCATTGACCAGTATCAGGTTTCATTGTTATACCTTGCAAAATCAGTATGCTTAAAAATACATATATTCCTTCTGAACTGGTTGAATGCCACGATTTTGTTGATTTTTCGTCTACAGGGTGTTGGTTCATATACTCGTCTACAAAACGGTTAGTTTTAGTAAAAATATGAAGCATAGGCAGTTCATCAAAAAAAGGTAAATGGGTTTGAAACATCTGGTATATCTTTCTTTATTCCTGGAACCTACTTCAAAAAGTAAACGAAAACGGAAGACACAGAATAAAAAAAATATATTTTACTCAAACAACACCAGCCAATACCGCACAGTCATTACTTTCACAGCTTTAGACACATCCCTCTCTCCAGCTTCTCCCCACCATCTCTGAAATAGTATCCTCCTTCGCATACTTTGTCAAGGTCATTCTGGTGTTGCATTCCAAAGCTTTTCGAATAATTTTACGGGTAGAAACGCAAAGCAAATGATAGTATTTTGGAAGAGCATATATATATGTCTGTGGCAGTTAACACATCGGCTGAGCAAGGCGCATATATACGCCCACAGCAGTTAAGGGGTTAAATTTTATCTTGCTTCTATCGCATGCCGAGACAATTAAGCCTGAATTGTATTAGTTTAGTTATTTCTTGCACATGCGTAAGGCTTATCAGAATTCTGAATAAATAAATTCCCACATATACGTAAACCTTATTGAGAGCCAGCATAAGATATTTTACTGCCTGATGCAGTCTTTGTGGGTTCTAAATTCTGAGACTCGCTGCAGCCATACGAGCTCTGGCGCTGGTTCTGGGTTTATGTGAATAACAAATCAGTTATTCATAATTCAAATAGCCCTAAATGTAATCTTTGGGTATATGAGTATCATCAACAAAATCTATTTTTAGCATATGGAAAGAAATTTCTGGTAAATTTTTTGTCAACATTTTTAGCGCGCTTAAATTAAATCTATAATCATCGCCAAGCATAATGGTGTCTCCATGCAGCAAAAAACCATCCCACTTTCTCCTGGTTTTCTTGCAAATACCTCCCGGGTCTTAAGATTTCAAGATTGGCAGCTATGATATTATTATGCCAATCATTTGCCATTTCTGTTCCAAAATAGAGAGATTTTTCTTCTCATCCTGTATAGACAAAAGTAATTCAGCAGATTTCAACTGTATTATCCTGTGTTTTATCATATTATCCTGTGTTTTGAGTTTTCTTTTCTGTTTATAGTCTCTTGCATTTTAATAAAACTTTGAGAAAATATATTGCACTCCTTTTCCCTTTTTTAAACATTTTTATAACATGAACAACTTGCATGAGAGTTTAGAAAATTATGTATTTACAGCACATACTAATTTTTTTGAAAAGATTAGCACCAAGGTCACAACAAACATGGATTTTCACCAAATTTCTGTTGCCTGCTTTATTTATTCTGCTATGTAATTTTCATCTGGTCCTGCTGCTCATTTCCAACATTCTGGGAGCTTTATAATGCTTGATGAAAACAGGATAGCAACTTTCTGTCAAAGAAGTCTTCCAAGTCAAAGAACTCTCTTTTGTTTTTTATGAAGAGAGTTTTCTGAGGACTGAAGTAAGTAGTAGTTGGGCAGTGCAAAGTCCAGAGAATATGGTGGGTGTGAGAGAACATCTCACTGAAACTAGTGGAACTTTCTTTTCACCTTCAATTAAACATAAGGTCTGGCATTGACATGGTGAAAATATAAGAACTGTACACATTGCAAGTTTGAGGCATTTTGAATTGACCACCTACTTCAGTTCTTGCTGATGAAAGTATGTAGCAGGGTTTGCTCTCTGAAGCTTGAAAAAAAGAACTCCTTTGTTATTCTGCTAGAGCAAAAACCTTTTTTAGCAAGAAGACAGGCTTTGCTGCAACCTGCTTTTTGCAGTTCCCCCCCCCCAAGTCCATTTTGATACTACATTGTTATTTGGAATCCAGGATTCATCACCAATCACTAGTCTTCTGAGAAGCAGGTCACTTTCTTGTTAGTGCAGCAGCTAATCGTACACAGTTGATAGGATACTTAAACTCTATACATGCTCTTATACCTTATTCACTCCAGGTGGTTGTGCACTGTTGGTTTGGGAAGGCTAAGTGTCTTTGCAGCCTCTTGAGCAGTGTGTTGGGTGTTCTGGACAGACATCATCATCTCTTTTGATAGTTGTCCAGTCCTTGCTTCATGTTTCAGAGTCAGATCTCCTTATCCAAACTTTCAGAACCAACAGTTGACTGCCCATATTTTGATAGCATTATCCTTATATCCACTATGATGCCTACAATGCTAATTTTTTTAAACAATGGAGCACTTGATTTCAGATATGCTTATTCAAATTATCCATCCCAAGTGTTTCTCTAAAGAAATTAATGTGGCAAATATGACTTTCAGGCATTGTGTGGGAAGGAGCATGAATATTAAATTTGACATCAGTGCCTTTGCATTTTTCTTCTCATAAAATTTTCTTTAAAATGTTAATAATTGCAACATTTGAAAAACAATAAAAATTTCCTTACATTTTACTTTATATTTAGTTAATATGATTTTGAAAGAAATTTTTATGTGATGATTTTTTGCAATGCATTCTTTTTGGAAAATGTTATTTTTCACAATAAAAATGCAACACCATGAAACTTTTATCACAGCACCATGTTCATTTTCAGTTTCTATTAAGTAAAATCAGTTAAAAGTGCCATGAATGGAAAGGAATGAATGTCTGAGCTAACTTCTGAAATTTCATCAAGACTATTGAAATTCCTAGCTTCTGTCACATTCTCTGCTGGGATAAAGACGATGGGGTGACATTTTCATTGAACCGTCTAACCCTTTGAATAGCACAGCTTTATGAATATGCTCATAAAGGCCTGTATTTAAACAGCATTTATAAGATAAATTTATATAATTGCTTATTTTAGTCCTTATTATCATAAACTCCCATTCATTAAGATGGTATTTACATTAATAAAGGATGGAGGAAGTCAATGTATTTTAATTTATAAGCAAGTATATACTAGGTGACAAAATATTTCATTACTGGATAAGTGCGGCCATGTCACTCAGCTGGTTAATTTATTAAAAGTTTAATCAAAACCTCTCTACAGCTGATAGGGCTTTAGACCATATGATTTTAGAAACTTTAGATTCAGGAACTGTGGGCCATATTTAGGGACAGTAGTTAGAACATAATTTGACTCATTAAAATGGGACTGGAGCACCAGGATAGGCATCACAATACATAGAATCAGGTGTCTGATATTATGCATTAGTGACTCTACAATCCATATCTGACAGTATTCTGTGGGATATAAAACTGATCGTTTCTGGTGTACATGACAGATATGTGCGAATATGATATGCTAATGGGGTATAGCAATTCATTGTACTACTGTGCCATTTGTGCATTCCACATACCATTTTCCTTTAAAATAACACATGGCCCCTCACAGACAGCTAACATCAAGAGGCATCTTTTGCAAAATGCTGAGATGATTTTTTGGTTTCTGTGATCTCCAGGTCTTTCATGAATGCAGGGAAGATGGATTTGGTCCATATGTATGATCTACAGTACTTCTGGACTGAACATGAGTGTTGACTTAGCTAATGACTATGTGACCCAAACTGGCAGTCTCACTAAACTGTCTGTATTTAATTGATTAACACAAGAATCTCCCCCCCCCAGAAAGTTGTGCAAAGCTTAATCTTTTTTGAAGTGTTTTTCATGGGAGTGCATTTATGTTTCTGTAGACAGATGTATGTATTTTTCTATGTAATATTGGAAATTATAATGAAATTTGTTATTTTTTTCTAATTATTCTTGAATTTCCATTTAATCAAAAGCATTCACATATGTATTTGAATATAATATATTTTAATTCTTATTTCTTTTTCCACATGTCTCTACCTATGGTAGATCTACAAGCCTGCGTGTCTCGAGTACGACTCGTAGAGGTCTAGGAATGGTTGGCACATCTCTCTCTGCCCAGCCATTACTGCCAGTCAGTAGCAGTCAATCATGTGGTTCAGTTATTTTATCTCATGACGTGGAAGTGCCCTCTGCCTTGGTGACCAGACCAACTTCTGCATCTCAACCATCTTCTCCTAGAGTTAATCCAGAGTCTTCTAGAATGATAGCCAATGGAAGCATATGTATTGATTCAAGGGGTTCCTATTTGGAAAGAAGAGATCTTCCTCCAGGTTTGCTATCCTCCAAATTAAATAAGGATTTTGTAGGAGGTGATCGTCATAGCCCTGATATAAGTATTTACAGTGAGGAAAATTATAGTGATAATTTTAGTGATCATTACTTGTCTGATAATACATCTCATAATTCTTATTCTTTAGACCATAAGCATTCTTTATCAGACAGTGTTGTTTATCAAAACTGTCGAGAAATTTTGACCCATTCAGATAATAAATCTGATCATATTTGTAATATATCATCAGATTCAAAAGCACCATTTGATACTAAACAGAGTTCATTAGGTAGTGAGGGTGAAGTAGCAAAGGGAGAGTTATTGAGTAATTTAGTAAAAGATTTATCAGAAATTTGTAATCAAAATAGTACTGAGGGTGAAGGGACGAATGATGAAATTAATTCTGCTAATGGTGATATAACATATATTTTGCATAAGCTTGATAGATCTCAAAAGTCCCTGCCATCTCTTTTAAAACCTTCTAACAAACCAAAATCTCCAAAACCTGTCCTTAGAGTTGAAGTGGAGCATGCCCTGAAAACACATGGTAGTCCAACATTGTTTGCTAGAGCAGGTTGTTTTTCAACATCCAAAAAGAATAAATTCAATCATAATGTTAAAAATTTAATGCGTAGTAAAACCGTTGACTTTGTATCTGTTAATCAGCTTCCTGCTGCTGATAGCTTTTCATCTCAGGATGATTCTTTGGAGGATTCTGTTGGGAAGGTTCTTAAAGAGTGCAAGAAGAAAAATAGTTCAGACTCGACAAGGAGTAAAGAATTGCTTAGGCATTCTTCCAGCAAGCATAGTTCAACAGATTCTCAGGAAATGGATTATGTTATTTCAAATAAAGATGGCAGTTATTATCGTTTTGCTACTGATGATTTAACTGATAGCATAGAAATGATCATATCTAAAAAACAAGGAAAAGGGAAGCTTTCAAAGTTTAAACACAGTTTATCAAATGTTTCATTTGACGATATGGATTCTGCAGACATGAAGAGTCCTATGGAGTATCCTGTCAGCTCTGAATTTATCTTGGAACCCAATTATAACCATGCTGAAATTCTGAATAAAAGTACTAATTTTGAAGAACCAAAACCAGGTATTCCAAAACCAGTATTAAAAGAGGTGTGGCTAAATCGAAGCTCTGAAGAATATCTCTCCGATTCCTCCTCTGGAAGTGGAATTCTTTGCTCTGGAAATAGTACTAGCAGTTTAGATGATATGCTGCAATTAAGTGATTTGCGGCTTTATGATACCCATTTGTCTTCCTCAGAAGAAGATCCAACTGTTGCAGATGATGATGAATTTGATCAAAGCCATGTAGTTGATTATTATGATGAAAATGCTATCAAGACACTGCAGTCTGAAAATAAAGTTCCATTGACAGCTGTTGTCATAAATGAAAGTGAAAGTGAAACATGCGATGAAAGTAGTCTAAACGAAGCTGTAGATATTCTGGAAGATATCACTGAACATACAGAGACATTTTCAGAGGGAGAAACCGCTCAGATACTTGATGATAATTTATCCTGTGGCAGTACTCGCTCAATTGAATCCATTCCTAGTACGCCAAGCAAAAATAGTTCTTGTGGAAAGGAGATCAGTGCACAAGTAAATTCATCTCAGACATCCTCAGTTCAGACATCTGTATTGGCCCCTACAAGTTCAAAAAAAATTGGATAATCGAACTCTTAAAGTAAACTTCAAAGTCCTACAGATATCATGTGCTATTTATTTTTATAAGAACCATTTAAAAAACAACTTGCACATTTTTTCTGTATATTACCTTCTTCATGTATGTCAACTAATTCTTTTTTTTTTTTTTTTTTTTTAATATAACGTAATTAGAATTTAATGTTTCAAAGTGTGTTATGTAGATATTACGAAATTACTTTCCAAAACAGAAAGTATGATGAGCGAAATGGGTATATGCTGGAATCATGCAAAATTTTCTAGTCATTTTTTTTTTCTTTTAAAAGTGTTGAATAATTTTTGCACCATTTTTAATATTCAGTTATAGTATATTTAAGTGCATTAGCACTGTATGTTCCGTGCAGTTAGTGAAAAATTTATTTTAACTGTATAAAATATTTTATATTCATATATGAATCACTGTGAGAAATTGTGGAGCTTCTACAGAAACTGTGATATTTTGCACAGAAAGGGAAGAACAGCAAATAATAAACGGTATGTATGAAACGTATTGGGGTAGCTTAACTGCTAATATTAACCTTTAAATGATGCCATCTGAAGTGTTGTCCTTTGGCTGCAAATGTTATTTTGAATTATATGAAAGAATCTCAAGCATTGAGTTCGATTTAAAAAATATCTAAAAATCTCAGAGAGGTTTTGTGTATTCTGTTTGTCTTTGAAAAAGCAGTCTTTTCCCATATATATTTGTAATATTTATTGATTTGGATAATCTGAACCTTTTCAAAAAATTATTTTTACTGGAAGAGCTTGATATGTAACCATACAGTTTATATTTTTCTGTGATTCATTACGTGACTAAACTGCTACCAGAAAATGCTCCATTAAAAGTACGATTTATCTAAAGCCTTTGAGGCTATGCTAATGCCTCTTTTTTCACATCTAGTCAAAAACTTGTTCAGTTCTTAAATGAATATTATCATAATCACTGAGCATTTGCACTTTCTATGTCTGTACATTTGGATGCATGAGTAATGGTTACAGAAAAAGGTCACTTGTGTCTCAAATGAAAGGTCTGCCAAGCAACTTGTTTTATAGGTGTAAGCAAGGAGTAACTGTATCTCTAGACATTATGCGATGCATATTAATATTTTCACAAATAATTATTATCATATTTATGTCTTTAACCTGTTCTTCAACAGTATAGATTTTTTGATAGGGGATTATGGCTGTACATTCAAGGGTGTCCACCATGGGGAGGGATGCCATCATAAGACTTTTTAAAAGAAACTGACTTGTATTCATGTTATGCATGTGAGAAACCATGAAACTGCCATGGAACCAGCCCCTTCACTGGGATTTAAAACCCATCAATCAGTATTTAGCAACTTAGCTATTGATGGGCAATTTTATACAATGTTGCCTATCAGCAATGATAAAATCAGTGTTACAATTTTTTTAGAGTTGGTTGCAAACATGAAATCATTTACTTCGCAGGGTTAAGTTCCCGAGTTTTGAGACATAAAATTTGTTAAAAAATGATGTAAAAATTTTTGTTCCCCCCCTTATAGTGAGTGAGTCCAGCTGTGGTTTTAGGGCTTAAACCACTTAAAATCTTTCTTAGCAGATGAGTTCTGCTCCTAATTGCTATCACTGCTGCAAACAGTCTTTTATCCCTTATTTATAAGAACATATATATTTTTTTCATTTTGCTGCTAGCATCCTAAACAGCACTGCAGAACCACCTTTGCTTTCCATGGCTTCATTCAGCTAGTATTAAATTTTCTTTTGAGGATCTTTTCTCTGTGATCCTCAAAGGGCTTATTTATATTACCATCTCCTAATTGCATTTCCTTAAATATTCTGTTATTTTCTATCATTGATAAAGGCTGATGCCATGTTTATGCAGATTTGGCATATAGTCTGGCTAGGACGTACAGCATATGCTATTCACACATTCATGATTTAAATCCTAATTTCGCTTTCTAAAAGTTAATAGTTTCTAATCCCTGATTTGGCATTGGGTATTTTTCAGGTATATAATATTGCTTAATCATAATTTTAGACTATTTTTAAATCATGTAACATAGATGTAAAATATATTTTATTATGATTATTTATCCCTTTCTCTCTAGGAAGTTGACTATGTCATAACTTTAAAGCAGGCATAAATTGACTCATCTTCATTTACAGTAGCCATAGTCATGCAAGTGCATTCTGAATATGCACTAACATATTTATATTTAATGTATTCCTGAGGATGTATTTAATTTTTTAATTTTATATTTACATATGTATTTATTTTTTGTAGAATTTATTTTGCATATTTCAGATGAAAGTTACTCAATTGTTATGTGAGGCATATTTTTTAATTTTCCATTGTAATGAAAGAAATTTATGACAAAAGATTTTGTTTTAAGATATAAGATATATATTATTTGTCTTTTAACGTATGTGTTACTCTTTTTAAGCATGTGGATCATGAGCTGTTTCTTTGAAACTTTTTATATAGTTATAACAGCATTCTGCAATTTGTTATTTATTGTATTCTTTCTATTTGGGGGGAGGGAAGATATGGAGTTTGAATTTAAATTGTTATATCCATACATTCACTTGATGATAGGGGAAATTTTCTTTCGTTTGGGCTATTGCAATGCTTTTGATGTAAAGTAACTATGTAATGCCTTGTAAAAAAACTATTATGATTTTATAAATAATATTAAAATGACATACAGCAGTACTTTGAGAATTCTAATTTTGAAAACATAGATGAAAATCTGATGAAAAGGAGGTTTTTCCAACTACAGAGGGTGTTTATACATTTTTAGAAGATTTTGGGGGTTGTTGTGTAATTAATGTTTAAAATGTAAAGAGTATTTTCTCAAATGTTCAGCGTGAGAGCTTTTTTGTGTTTTTTTTTTCTAGACTATAAGTTTGCATCATGATTCTGTGACGGAAAGTTTTTTCATAAAATTTCCAGGGGTATTCATTTTCATTCTTCTTCCACTACTTTCCAGAGTCCATCAATCATGGTGAGTTTTCACTTGGAAAGAGCTCTTTTCGGAGACTAGATGCAAAATAATCCATACATGAAATGTCAGGGTGCTTCGCAGGAATACGAATAAGATATATTTGCAATATCTGTATCAGTCTTAATTTTTTGAAGGAATGTAGCCATACTTTGACATGCTACATTACCTTGATGAAGTTTCACTCTTTGAAAGTCATTGGGATTAAGAAATGGAATTTCCTTTGTAAATATTGGACATAAAACTTTCTTGTGATGGTATTTTAAGTTGATCTTAACATTTTGCCTTTTTTTCTCATTTTTAATTTCCTACTGTA